CTTCCTTTTTGGAGGGACACTCCCTTTTTTCCCTCGCCTGCACCGGCTTGGACTCCCTGCTGCATGGAAGCTACTTGGAGAAGAAAAGCAGCCTCAGAGACGTCACGACCCCTCGGCCAGAATGAGGGTAAGCCCCCAGGTGTGCGCACTGAGGCCCCTGGACCATGTCTGGGGAAATCCCTGGGGTAGGAATTCCCAAAGTTAGCAAAGGAGGTGAAAGACTTATACACTAGAAACTGCAAAACATTGATGAAAAATTTTAAAACACACAAACAAAATTAAAAACATCATATTCTCATGGATTGGAAAATTTAATATTCTTAAAATATTCATACAAAATAAATTGATCTAGACATTCAATGTAATCTCTATCAAAATTCCAATTTTTTTACAGATATAGAAAAAACAACTCTACAATTCATACAGAACCACACAAGACTTCAAATACACAAAGCAATCCTGAGAAAGAACTAAGCTGGATGCATCTGATTTCCTGATTTCCGAATATATTACAAAGCTACAATATTCAAAATAAAATAGTCCTTGCATAAAGAGAACAGTTAGACTGATGGAACAAAATAGAAAGCCCAGATGTAAATCCACACATATACAATGATATACAATCAACAGATCCTCGACGATGCTGCCAATACCACACAAGGAGGAAATTATATTCTCTTCAATAAATGATGTTCAAGATAATAGATACCCACATAAAAGAATGAATTTGGGCCATTTTCTTACACCACAAACAAAAATCAACTTAAAATCAATTCAAAATTTAAATGTAAGACATGTCATTGTTCAACTTCTAAAGCAAAACATAGAGAAGAATTCCACAACATTGGCCTTTGCAAGATTTCAGAGCTAGGACACCAAACTCAGAGGCAAAAAAAACAAAAATAATTTGAATTTAATAAAACTAAAAAGTTTGTGTACAGTAAATAAAATGATCAGCAGAGTGAAAAGGCAACCTATAGAAAGGTAGAATATATTTGCAAACCATATACCATAATGAGGGGTATTCTCCCAAATACATAAGAAACTCAAACAACTAAGTAGCAAAAAACCTAGCAACCCAATGGAAAAATGAGCTAAGGGCTTGAGCAAAGTTCTCAAACAATGTAGGAGGGTTCTCTTTTCTCCACAGCCTCTCCAGCATTTGTCATTTGTGGATTTTTGAATGATGGCCATTCTGACTGGTGTGAGGTGCTACCCCATTGTAGTTTTGATTTGCATTTCTCTGATAATTAGCAACATTTAGGGTTTTTTTTTTCATGAGCCTAATGGACTTTTGTAGTCTTCACTGGAGAATTGCTTGTTGAGATCTTCTGCCCTTTTTTGGATTGGGTTGTTTGTGCTTTTTCTCTCAAGTTGTAGGAGTGTTTGTATATTCTGTAAATTAAGCCCTTGTCTCTCTCGTCTTTTATAAATATTTTCTCCCATTCTGTAGGTTGTCTTTTTGTATTCTTTATGGTTTCCTTTGCTGTGCAAAAGCTTGTAAGTTTGATTAGGTCCCATTTGTTTCTTTGTGCTTTTGTTTCTGTTGCCTGGGCAGGCATCCCTAGGAGAATGTTGCTAAGATTTATGTCTGATGAAGCTTTGTCTGTGTGTTCTTCTAAGAGGTTTGTAGTGTCCTGACTTATGTTTAAGTCTTTAAGATGTTTTGAGTTTACATTGTGTATAGTATGAGGGAGTATTCTCTGCTCTGTTGTCCCTGAGATTTTGTGCCCACAGGCTACCAGTGTGGATCTACAGATGTCAGGCACTAGGACCTCTGTAGTGGTTGTGCAGTTACACCTCTGGATCCATGGAAACTCAGAGATAGAGAATGGAATGAAGAGTAATGAAAGAAATTCTAGTCTATCATTGAATTGTATTAATTTTATTGAAAACCCATAGATCTCTGCACTCAACATCTGCAGGGCTGTAATCCTTTAACGGATACAAAGAATATTTAGGTTGACATATTTTTTACCTTTGACTGTTTTCCCTCCTTGGACAATGGGAATAGAAATTACTCCATATTATGAAGTGTTATTATGAATATTAACTTACATACATAAAGGTTCTGGCCTATAAACAATTAAAAATAAGAAATATTATTGTCATTCTTATTCATGCAGTAAACACACAGGTAGTAAGTGAGGTGGTTGATAGCATGTGTTCTGGAGCAACACTTTTTGGATTCAAATTTTTTTTAGGACCTTGTGATTGTAACAAGTTATTGAATCTCTCTAATATTGTGGTAAAATTATCTGTAAGACTAAGAGAAAACAATCCATGTAAAGAAGTTGGCACTGGGTCTTAGACAAGTGTGCAAAACTAGAAGGCATTCCCATTATTATTTTCATGTAC